GATGAAGTTGAACGCAGCGAGACCTTTTCCGATGTAAACATATTGGTCCGACCTTCTTCGCGAGGTATCTTGCTGTATTTGCTGGATCCAATAGCGGTCTTTCGTAGTTTTGGGATTTCTGATGGTTTACTGTCCGATTCCATATTCGCTTCTATATCTTGATTGAAATGTAAGACATTTTTTTGATTCCACAAACGCACATTAGAGTCTCGATTATGTATGGTTTTTTGTAAGCATTATTTAATTATCTGTACACTTTTGTAAGCTTTTCATGCAATTTTAATAAACCGTAAAATTCAATCTGACATGCACTTGTTTTTTCTTATAATTTAAGTGAAAAAAAAACTTATAATTAACTTTATAATTAAGTATAATCAGAAAAAATATTAACAACTATATGTTACATAGATATATTACAAATAATTAAAGTAAAATTATAAAACTAAATATATCACATATAATAAAATAAATAAATAAATATATATATATATATATAATAAATATATAAATCTATATATATAAATATTATAACTATATATATATATAATAATAAAATTAAAATTAAATTACAAAAGCAATAAAATAATGTACATAAATCATTTCCTCAAAAATGAAACAATTTCAATTTCTATTTAATACTACAATATTTATTCTACTACATTTATTAAACAATCTACAATTTTCAACCCAGTCTTAAAATCAATATGCATTTCATTTCTATTGGTCTTACACAAATTTTAAAATATTTTTTGAATATAATAAATTTTTGTATTTTGACGATTTCAGACTTATATAATAATAATTAATAACATTTGCTAAATCTGCTACCAAGTAAATCACAAACGTTAAAATAACGTAGCACGACGAAACGTCGTTACGTTAATAAAACATTTATGTTACGTTAATAAACGTTCATGTTACATTTAGTGAAATCATACATTGGTGATATAATTAATAAAATAATATAAAAAATAACAAAAAATATAATTAAATACATATATAATATATTCTTTAAATTAATTTATATCAAAATTATTTGAATATTCTGAATTCAAATATTTTTGAACAGATATATAATATGGGGTCATTCATAGAAAATAATATTTTCAGTTAAAATATAAAGAAAAAATAGTAATACTATAATCAATTATTGTTAATAAATTATAAAATCGATGAATATATATTATATATTATATAATATATGCTAAATCTATTCAGTAAACCACAAAAGTTAAAATTACGTAACACAGACGAAACGTCGTTACGTAAATAAAACGTTTATGTTACATTTATATCACATTTAGTAAAATCATAATTAGTGATAATAAGATGTATCAAATAATTTAAAAAATGAATTAATACCAAAAAATATTGATTTTAATTAAATTTATATATGCAATATTTTTTAAAATGATTTTTATCAAAATTATTTGAATATTCAAATATTTTTGAACAAATATATATGATTTCCAGATAAATTTAAGACAAAAATTATATAGTATGATTAATTATTATTAATAAATTATAGAATCAATGAATATATATAATATATGCTAATATGCTATGTAGTAAACACAGAAGAATGTCGTTACGTTAATGAAACGTTTATGTTACGTTATTAAAACGTTTATGTTACGTATAGTGAAATTATAATTGATAGAATTACTAATGAGATTAGTTATATTTTTTTAAAATACTTTATATCAAAATTATTTGAATATTCTGCACTTGATGTTTTTTGAAGAAATAAATAGTTGAGCCTAGAAAATTAACATTTCCAGGAATAATACAAGACAAAAATATTATTAATAATAAATATTTAGCCTGAAATCGTCAAAATTTCACCTAAATCGAATTTAAAATCCACCATGTATAATATTTGTACCTAAATATCTATTCTATTAAATATCGATCACATTGTTTTTATTTCATTAACATCTCGTTTTCTACAATATAGTATACAATTATTTTTTCTTAAAGTCCAGTCTCTAAAAAAATTTGTAGAAAATTTTCTATTACCTTCATCGTAAAAATCAGTCCTTTGATGAAACTATTACACACTAGAATAATAAATATGAAAGGACATTTAATATGAAAATATTTTTTTTACCTTCTAAGGTACCTATATTATAAATTGCCGTTAGAAATGTATTGGTTTTGGAATATGTCTAAGTTTTTTTTTCTGGTAGAGAATTAAGTTGGATTTTTAGGGAAATGGAAAATTGGAGGAAAAAATTGCACATTTTGTAAAAAAATATTGTCTTGAATTATTATATGATTATCAGATGTAGAAATAGGTTTTTTGTACAAAAGGGAGTACTGTGCAGTACGAACCACTGTTGGTTTTCGCAATATTTTCTAATCAACATTTTGTAAAATTTTATGCATTTTGGTAAGTTAATTTAATAAAAAAAAATCTACACCAGTCACCATTTAAGTACTATCAAAACAGTCTATATTTGTTTAAAAATGTGAAATATAAATATTTTTTTTACAAAAATTTTTGTATAAAGACATAATGCTTTTGCAGAATTATGTAAGATTTTTTACAAACATATTTCTATTAATATGATAAAATATAAAGAAAATCCCAAATTATAAAATTGTATAAATAATCAACTAAATATTGATAATTTTAAAAATTAAGAACAAATTAATAGTATGTATATAAACAAAATTTTTAAGTGTATATGTACTTAGTTAGTAAATTAGGTTTTAGTGCTAATTTATGTTATTTTTTTTAATTTTTCCATTTCTCTAGCAGAATTTTTCATATGAACACAATTAAAATTATTATTTCAAAGATTCAGAGTCAGTTGCACCTTTTATTCTAATTAAATATTAAAATAAAAAATCTAAAAATTCTTAATCTAACAAAATTATTAATTACATTAGAATCAATAGTTACACATGATATTATTAAAAATTGAACAAAATCATATCAATACTTTGTGGAGACTAATAATTAATTTATAATAGCTGATAAATATATATTATAGTTATATAATTATAATATATATTATATAATTATTATGAATATTATAATAATTATATAATTATGCATATATGTTGTTCTTTTACAAATTTTTCAAAAAAATGAGTGGTCTACAATTAAAAAATTTATAAACAATTGATTATATATAAAACAAAATATATTCATTTATTAGAAAATAGTCTAAATTATAGAACCAAAATACATATTTATCATATAATAGAAAATGCATTACAAAATAATATTATATATAAAAATATTTTGTAAATAATTTTTATTTTATAGTAGAATATTTTATTTTAATTTTAAGAGAATAAATATGGTGCAACCGGCCTTTGATAATTTTATAAGAAAAATTATATTATTTAAATTACAATGTTTTTTAAATTTTAAGTTTGCTCCTTAAATTAGAAAAAAATATATATAATATAACATATGGATACATAATTATATTTTGAGTAATGGATATTAATTTGTGGAAGAAAATTATAAAAAAATAATTTATATAAAAATTAATTGTATTATCCTGAATTTTATGAATTTTTGCTATAGTAAAAAAAATCCTGGTAATAAGAATTTTACTAACTATCATTATTTCTAATGATGGAACAAACGTCTTGAAATTAAAAAAAAAATATTATTAAAAATTAGTTTATAACAAATCACTGACTTATTTATATCTTATATTATCAACTTGAGCAAAATGTCATAATTTTAAAAAATATAATAAATAGTTTAAAAATGCATAAAAATAGTATGAAAATATAAGTAGATCTTTTGTTAAAGAATTAATAATTTTAAATTTAGGTTCTTATTTAAAATAAAAATAAATTAGTTTATGAAAAATTAGGTGTTGTAAAAATATTGTAACCGATAAAATTTAAAAAACGTCAAAAAATAGCATTCGATATTAAATATTTGTAAAAATTGCCAATTTTATTAAAATTGTGAAACAAACCAATAGTAATTGTAAAAAGTAAACTTATTCCAAATATTCGTTTTAATTTAAATAAAAATTAGAACTGAAAAATTATATTATAAATCTTTTACTATTATATAATATATAAATATAGCATTCAGAAGTGAATATGTTCGATTAAGAGTTTAAAGAAAAAATACTAAATATTTGTCTTAATTAAGAATTTTGATAATAAAATAATTATTATTTGTTTAAATTTACCATCGTTATAAAATCTACTTGTCATAGATTTTAATAAATGTAAAAAACAGTGTTTAATATAAAAAATATAAGTAAAAAAAAAACACCTTATTAAATTTAGAAAAAAAATGATAGTAATTCCTAGAATAAAAATTTTACGTTCAAAAAATATTTAAAAATCACCAAAACCGTTTTCATAAACTAAATTACTAAAAACATTTTCATTAAACAAATTAAATTAAATTCAAATCATGATCACAAAATAAAAAAATGACAAAAGATGATGAAAATCATGAAAATAACAAAAACTGATTTTATTTTCTTAAGAAAACTACTATAATTTATTCTAAAAATAACCGTTTTTCTTACCAAAAAATCCTAATTTCAAATTACAAGTTTTCTGATTAATTTTATTTAAAACAAAAAATTGCCAATAAAAATTTCTAGTTTGAAATATATATCATTTTATAAAATCATCTAGTACTATATAACAAAATTTAAAAAATGTAAAAAAATACTATATATTAGTTAAAACCCATAAATTAGTAATAAAAATCTAAATATCCAAAAATATATTATATAGAGTGCTTGTCTATCAATTCTCCTAAATTGGAATATAAAAATTGAAATTTATATTTAAAAAATTTGTAATTAATTATTTTAATTTAATAGTTAAATACAAAACTAGAAAATTAGAAAATGGAAGAAATAGTATATTTACACTATTATACTAATATAGGTCTTTTAGTACTAAATTTAGAAGTAAAAATTTGAATAAAAAAAATAGAATTTAAATAAAAAAAGTAAATTTATAAATTTGAAAAGTAAGGTATAAGGGTTGTAATAAAAATGAGGGCTCTATTAATAGTAAGGTATTTAATTAAAAACAGAAGAGAAAAATAAAAATTAGGGAAAGGGTACTAATAAACTTGAGTGCTAAATAAAAAAGTAAATTTATAAATTGAAAATTATGATGAGGGTGGTAATAAAAATAAGGACACTAATTATTAAGGTATTAAATAAAAACAGAAGAAATAGAAATTTAAGCACAAATAGAAGTTTAAGGTAAAGTACTAATAAAATTGAGTACTCTACTTAATAATTATCATAGGAATTATTTTGTAGGAGTCTTTCATAATTAATAATAGAATGAAAATATGAATAAAAAAATAGAATTTAAATACAAAAGTGAGTTTATAAATTTGAAAATTAAGGTAAGGGTTGTAAAGATAAGGACACTAATTATTAAGGTACTGAATAAAAACAGCAGAAATAGAAATTTTAGCACAAATTGAAATTCAAGGTAAGGGTCCTAATAAAATTGAGTGCTCCTTATTAAGATAGGACTTATTATTGTTGGAGTATTTTAATAAACAAATATAAATATAAATAAGTAAAATAAATATAATAAATAAATAAAAATAAATATAATAAATAAATAAATACTTCAACAATAATATATTTTTTTGCTAAGTTTCTAATACATAATTTATTAGT